TAACAGCTAACAAATATATAGCCAGGCACTGTTATACATTTCACATATATTAACTTGTTTTAAGCTGCATCATGACCTGTTGAGGAAGATATACTAGTATTATCCTCATTTAACAGATGAGGAGACTGAGGTACAGAGAACATAGAGAAATTCATTAACTTGCTAAAGTCGCAGTGCTGGAAGGGGTAGAAGTGTCTGGGTCTGAATTCAGGTGAAGGGAGTCTGACTCTACTTTCCGTGTCCTTTATTACTGTTTTGTTGTCTATGGAGTAGTGTTAACATTATTCCCAGTTTATAGATTTATTATTAATTCAGCAAATATGTATTACTGGGTGCACTATGAGGCTCTAGGGATATTACAGTGAATAAGGCAAAGGCCCTGTCCCCATGGGTTTTCCGTGCTAGATGAAGCTGAGGCTGGAGAGAAACTGTCGAGTGAGGGTGGCTCAGCCTGTGTGTACAAAACAGTGCTGGGACCCTTGGTCTGACTCCAGGGCCAGTGTTCTTAACCCCACGCTGCACTGCTTTCCTGGACAGATTCCATCTTAAAGCCCCCAGCAGACCTTGTAAGGATTGCTGGCCGTGGGCCACCTGTGGACCCATCAGCAACTATTGATGCCTTTCCTTCACTTTTCCTTTCCCACCATCCTCTCTCCCTCCCACCTTTCCTGAGCACTTTCTTGCAACTTTAAGTGCACATGGTCAAATTTAGACCTAATGGCTGCGCTCAGGGCCAGACAGACTGCTGAGAGGAAGAAGCCCACCACCACCAGTGACTCTGGGTGTGGCTTTCCTCATCCTGAAACGGCTCAACTCTTTAATGTTACCAGAAACACTGTTTCATGACTATCATCTCTTCAGTCTCCTTGACAATCTTCTCATCAAATTCAAGATCTTCACAGTCACAGTCCCTACAAAGGGGACTTTCTGCCTGACCTCAGTCTCTTGTACAATGCCCCTCTTCTCTGGTCTGCGTCAGTCTGCCTGAGACCCGGGGGCAGCCGGCAGCCCTGCACACCTTTCCTTTTCACTAAGTTAAATCATCCCTGCTCCTCTAGGAATTCAGCCTGGATCTGTTTCTCAAACTCATATCCCTGTAAGATCCTCTCCAAGTTCTTATTATCACACTTCACTTGTGGGGCACAAAACTCAACATGGTCTACATTCAGAAAGAAATGGGCCTATTGCCAAGATAAGAGTGAGCTGCCTGATGGCCCTTCTGAGCACGCTTTCTCCTGGGGACAATGGGGCTGAGTGGTCTGGCGACCCTGACTGCAGCCTGAGCAAGAGCCAGTCTGGGGATGGGCTGGAGGTCCTGGGAAGTTCTCAGTCTTTCTTCCCAAGTCTGGAGAGCTGGGGACTTGGAGATGGAGGTATGTCCAGGAGTCTCACAAAGGGTATGGTAGGCAGGCTGAGGTTCAGCTTTCTTCTCTCCTCGTGATCCTGGGCCCAGAAATACAAGAACCCCTTTCAGCTTTCACAGTTGTCTGAGGGGAAGGGAGAACATGGGGCTTGGCTGCTTTCCCCTCAGGGAAGTGTCCTGAAGCACTCAGAGGTGGGAGTCCCCATCACTCAGGCCCCAGGGAGCTCTCTGAGGACCTCTGGTGGCTCTAAGCGAAGTCCCTGTGGGACTAACCCAGAAAAGGAGAGCCGGTCAGAGGCCTGGGAGGTGCGGTAGAGAGAACCAGCACACCCTGTATGCTATTGCATCACACTGCTCCTGCCTGGAAGGGCTGCTTCTCAGAGATGTGGAGAAGAAGCAACAAACTCGTTCTTAACCGTAGTCCAGATTCTTTCCAAGACAGGGGCTTGCATGCAGGTGGTTAATTTTGGGAAATGATGCTAAGGAATAGTATTGGGGAATTTGGGGGTCTATGAACAATGAAACCAGAAAGAAAGAAAAACCATGATGATTTTGTCGATCTGATCATCACAGGGGCCCACCCAACAGAGTTCAGTCCTGCTGAGGACCCTCTGAAGAGCCCTTGTCCAATGCATTTCAGACTTGGCAGCCTAAAGGCTGGAAGAGGGCAGTACTAGTGTGTCCGCTTCTGCATCCTGTTGATCAGGGTTGTTGGTTGGGGGTTACCTTCCACACACGTGCACGTGTATTGGAACAGCTCAGCAGGCTCCTGCTGGGCAGGGAAGCCAGGAGCAGAAAGCAAGTGCTGCTCAGTGCGCATGAAGCTGCCCGCGCCACCAGATTCCCCTTGCTTGAAGCTGTTCGCTGCAGAAATGGCTGACATAGTACAGTGGGCCCAGAGAACGTTGTGGCACATTGGATTCAGAAGATGGATTGTCTTTCTGCTCCCCTCTGCCTTCAGATTCAGATCCCAACAACCCTGCAAAGTTTTGTCCAGTCCTCCCCCATGATGATTTCCCGAAGGAGTCGGGTCACAGTCAGCTTTCCCTGTCATCTCCTAGAGCACATCACTAATTAGCACCTAGCTTTTGCTTGATTTGTGTTGTATACTATAAAGCTGTCACTCCTTAGACGATAACTTAAGGGCAAAGACTTCATGCATCCCACTCTTAGGGCCTTATGGAGTAGTGGACGTAAAACAGGCCTGTCAGCCGATGTTCACTGAACTGAATGGTAGAAACATTATTAGCAATAAGAGCTCTGCAGTTTTCAAGCATTTGTTTGACAGCGTTTGTGCTTTGTTGGCACCACAGGCTAAGTTGTAAGGATAGAAACAGTGAACTTGGGTGAAGGTTTTGTTTGGAGTTCCAGATTTTAAACCATCATACTTTCCTACTCTTCGAAGTCTTCAAGTGTATCTCTAACAAAAAATGTCCCTGTCACTTTCTCTTTGAAGGCTTGACATATACTGGACTGGATGTCCAAGCTGGTCATCTCCTCTTGTGCCCTTGTACCTCTTGTGCCTGGCTCATCCCCTCCTCCATAGAGCCTTTTGGGGCTCTATCCACTTAAGTCACTGAATACTGATGCAGAGCCTTCTATGGGTTACTCCAGTGATTCTCTATCCTTTCTCCTGGGAAAAGATGAAAATAAGATCTTTTTTTCCATGCTCTGTGGAATCAGATGGATTTGTCCTGCTCTTTAAGAATTCCTTTGCCCCCTCCTTGCTGTTGAGCACAGCACTCATAGGCAAAATGGCTGATTAGGAGTGTGGCCTGTATTGCTGGTACTAAGATTGCTACTTTTTTTCAATAAAGGTAACTGGTCTTTTGAGAACTGAACCAATGACCTTGACCCTCATTAGCACAATTCTATAGCTGACACAGACTGGCCCATGATGCCCCGCTTGTTATCTACACAAAAGAAGAGGAGCACTGCCTAGACACCGGGAATTGAAGTGGTTACTATGGGGGAGGGGGTGTTGTGAAAGGGTTGGGGGGATAAAGGGGCACAAGAATTCTCAACCATAATATAAATTGGTCACTGGATAGTTGAACAGCATGGAGAATACAGCCAATGATTCTGTAACATCTTCCTATGTTGACAGATAGTAACTGCACTGGGCAGGGGGGAGGGTTTAATAATATGGGTAACTGCTGAAACACTGTGTTGTATACTTGAAACCAATATAAGATTGTACATCAATGTTACTTCAATAAAAAAAAGAAGGGGAGCATTGGACATGAATAATAATAATAGAAATAGGTAATTCAACACAACAAACAGCGAGTGAGGGCATATGGCACGCCAGGCTTCATGTTATGCAGGAGGCTCTGAAAAGATCATCGTATTTGCCATCAGCAATTCTAAGTTTGAACTGCAGTTCTGCCACTTAATAGCTCTGTGACCTTAGGTGAGTCATTTGACCTCCAGATGTCTAAGTTTTTCTTCATATGTAAAATGGGAATAATAATTCTTGGCTCACTGAGGAGTCAGTGAGATACTATATATAGAAGTATTTTTAAACAGCAGAGTGTGAAATATTATTAGTTTTTATGTAAAGATAAATAAGACCTAGTTTCTGTCTTTAAGGTTGGGCCAAAAGTCTCAGACAGACTTCTGAAACTTCTCCCAGACAAAAAATGCCTTTAGGAACAAAGTCAGGGCTGTAGCCCACCTGGGCAAAAGGGAACCTTCCTGTGGGAATAACTCTCCTTCCCTGCACGGGTGTTTCCCTAGCCCCCCAGGAGGGGCTGCTAATGTCGAGCTATCTGATTGGGCAACAGCTCACTACTAGGTAAGGGCCCCCAAGCCTGGATGATGCATATACAAATTATGGAGAATTGTCAGACGTATTTAGATAGAACCCCAACTAAGATTTATGTAAATATTCTGGAATGACTTGTTCTAGACAAATGATTTAAAAATCAAATTTACCCACAATTGCTTGTATGAAGAAAGCTCCCCACAAATCCTACTTGATTTGAGAAGATGGTACATTCCAGCTGGAGACCAGTCAGGCCTTTGACAGCTAATTAACTCATAGAAATATTAACACTCATGCACTTGTTTGCTTAGTACTTAACAAAACACATTAAGTGAGAAACTAGAGTTACCCAAGTTTGGGAACACTGTATAGTGGTTTGAGTTCAGGAAAGGTTGAAACAAATTGGAAAGCTTTAAAAAAAATTAGGGGATTTAATTCACTAGAAAAAATTTTAAGCCAGGAATAAATGAGAAATAGATGAAGAAAAAAGTTGCCATTTATTCCCTAGACATTTACTGAATGTGAGGTGACAGGATAGGTTGCAACTGCTGGGGTATATAGTAAAGCCCTGTTAACAGGAGGGTCTCTCCATCTGCCAGCCACTAGGACTCACACACCCCTTCCTGGAGACCTGCAGGTGGGAAGCACACCCTCCAGTGATGCTTGCGAGGTTCAGCCCCACCCCACCCCACACATACTCCTGGGGGCAGCCAGCAGCCAACAAGCAGTTGTTGGGGTGGATATAAAAGCTTAGCCCCCTTGCCCCACGGTGGGACAACTCTGTGGTAGCATCAAGATCCCAGCATGAAGCTTTACTTCAGCTGCCCCACTGCTGACTTCCCCTTACCCTACTGTTTCCCTCCTTCTTAGATACTTCACCTGAAAGTACTCCCTGAATAAATCACTGGCAGGAGAATCTTCACCTCAGCCTCTGCTTCTGAGGAACCCAACTATGGCAAAGACCAATGCTGAATAAAGAAGATGTGGCCACCGTCTGGGAGCTTGTTTTGGTGGGGGTTACTGTGGATAAAATCAAAGTGGCCGTGGTCGTCTAGCTCATTACACACGTGTGGGCAATATGTTGCTATTGACTCTATATAAAGAGCTCCACCCAGTGCTCTGCACAATATGGTGGCACGGTTGCAAGGCTGCAGGAGAGCAGAGGCTGGAATGGCGGCAGCACCGAGGACAGAGGCCCAGACGGTGGCTGTGTGGGCAGAGAGGCCCAGAGGCAGAGACCAGCTTGCTGCACGCAGACTCGCTCTGAGTGAATGAGGTTCTAGTGACTGACCTGCCACCGTGGAAATAAATAAAATTGGATATAACCTTTTCACCCCAAGAACGTTTTACTGTCATTTCTTTGGTCACATTGAATCCATAGCAAACTTGCCTGGGGCTGAAACCCGTTGGCAAGACAGTTACCTACAAATGAACAGGTACTTCCGTGGAGAGTGATGGTGGTATCACTGGAAAATACTTGGTGCCCTGACAATAGGACTGGTCACAGAATGCCTCCTAGGGTTGAAAGTCTCTGACCTAAGAACTGGAGTCTGACTAGCAGCTGGCTGGGTAGAGACTGGGGGAGAATTTGCCAGGCAGAGGAGGAAGGAGGCATAGAGGTGCAAATGGGAGACACTGCAGGGTACATCTTCAAAATAGCAAATGATTCAGTGTGACTGAAGCCAGGCAGGAGAGTGGCAAGAAGAGAGACGAGAGAGGTTAATGTGGTCCAGATTATGAAGGGCCTCATGAGCAAATACAAGTTTGTATTGCATTCAGGGCAAAGGAAAAACAGTTTTAAGTGGTGAATACATACATTCAGGGCAAAGGAAAAACAGTTTTAAGTGGTGTGATAAAGTGAAGGTTCCTGTGGCCAGGATTCTCACCTGGCCCTGGTCCACTCGCGCACTATACACATGTGCGCAATACCTTGCTACTGACTCTATATAGAGAGCTCCACCTAGTGCTCTGGGCTGCAGAAGAGCAGAGGCTGGAGTGGTAGCGCCGAGGACAGAGGCTGAGATGGCTGCGGGGTGGTGGGGCCCAGAGGCAGAGACTGGATTGCTGCACGCAGACTCGCTCTGAGTGGACGGGATTCTAGTGACTGATCTGCCACCATGGGAATAAAGATGGGTATAAACGCTTTCACCTCAAGAACGTTTCATTCTCATTTTTCAGTCATTGAATCCGTAGTGAACTTACCCGGGGCTGAAACCCACCGGCCAGACAACATAATAAGACTTATTTTTAATAAGCAATTCCTGGGTTGTGGAATGGAGAAAGGACTTCAAAGAGCAAGGCTGATGGTAGGGACACATGCCAGTCAATATTTGTTTTGAAATAATGGTTAAGGGTTAGAGTATTAGCGTGAGAAAGATAGAAGTTTAAGTTCCAGCTGCAACACTTCCCAGATTGGGCAAGTTTATTTAGTCTAAGCTTCAGTTTCCTGAACTGTAAAATAGGACAACTAGCAGTACTCACCTCCCAGAGCAGGCATGAACAGCAAAGGAGCTGATATATGAAGAGGATTTTGATATTTATTTTACAACACCTGGCACCCTCAAAACTATCTATTTTAATACATGTGTCTGAAGTAGGGCAATGGTAGTGGGAATTGAAGAGTGGAATTGAAGGCACATGCTGACTGGTTGGATGTCAGAAAGTAGAGAGTTGTCAAGAATGTCTGGTTTGGGTGGCAGGTGGGGTGCAGCAGCATTTGATGAAATGGGAACTGAGGAGGAGGTGAGGACTGGATGGAAGCTATTTCCGCTTCCACGTATGTTGCTTTTGAAGAACCTATGAGAAAATTACCATGGAATTGTCTGGCATGTAGTTGTATATGTGAGCCTGAAGTTCAGGAGAGAGATCTGAGCATGAGACATGCTGGGGGAGAGCGGGGGCTGGAGGAGAGAAGCCAGGGGTGTTCGCTGGGAATGGAGAAGAGGGTCAGGCACTGTGCTGGGCTCAGGAACGAAAGTGAGAAGATGGGACTTGCGCTCTCAGGGAACTTGCAGTCTGGTGGGGGAGGCAGATAATTAAACAGATTCTTAAAACACCATGGATATGTTTTGAACTGAAGCTATGGGGTGGGTCCCAGGGGCTGCAGGAACTGAGGGTGGGTGATGGCTCCAAAGGTCAGAACTAAAATCGGAGGTAGTCAAGGGGGTGGGGCAAGGAAGGAAAGGGTGGAACACCTTGGAAAAGATTTTTAATACTCTTAACACAGAGACAAAATAATTGATATAACACTGTAGCATTAGGAAGAGCTTTAGTGCTCTGGAGCTCCATGCCTCTCAGACTGTGCTATTATGGAATCCTCAGAGTTCTGGAAGGCCCCCACAGTCAGAGGCTGCCATAATGTGGGAAGCCGGAACCAAGCAGAGACCCACTAAATAAACAATGTTGCTGTTTTGCGAACTGGGACTATGTACAAACTTTCTTTTTAAAAGACTTGTACCAAAACAAACAAATATAAGCTATTAGGTCAATGTACATGTAAGGAATCTGAGGCCCAGAGAGTTTAAGATCATCAGCTAATTAGGGATCAAGCTGGGCCAAGAATCTAGATTTTTGATGTTTCAGCCCAGTGTTCCTTCTTGCTGTATCTGAGACCTTATACTTCTAATTTGCCTAGTCTGTATTAAACTGTATCTTCAGACTTTTCTGAACTTCAGTGGAAGAGTCCTGGACTTTAAAATATGGGAATAAGGTGTAGGAGAGAGATTATAGAGCTGCAATCAAAATTATTCACAGCTTGTGGTCTTTCACAATGAAAGATCCTTCACAACTGAGATGCCTTTTGCTTGCTGTTATGGCAGCTGCAGTAAGTTAACCCAGGAGGAGGCCCCTCTGTCTCACTGGGGACCAAGCCTGCTTCCTGTCTAGAGATCCCATCTCATCAGAACTGACCTAAGTTTGAGTGAACACCACAACCTGGTGGTCACATAAAGGCTCTCCTAGGACATCTGTTAAAAGATCATTCTCAAGAAAGGGTAGAATCATGACTCTCAGATTTAAAATGAACACGCCTTAGAAATTCTAATTCAATGTATAAGGAACTAGGCAGGTGTTGTTACAGCTTGTTCAAAAGAGAACCTAAAAGTGAACAAATAGGCCCATTTCTAGATCAGGAATATTGCAATGAATGTGCAAAAAGAGGCCAATTGGCTTCTTCCACAGGGGCTTGGGAGTCACTTGAACCTTTACCAGAAGGGACAGAATTTGCATGTATGGGGAAGTTGGGGTTCCTATGGCTAGGATCCTCACTAAACCTAAACCACCTGATGATGTAACGGGCCTGTTCCTAGGTCATTGCTTTCATACCTGTAGGCAATAAGCTATTATTGACAGAGTCACTATATAGAGAGCTCAGCCCATTGCTTTGGGTGGAGACAGAGACAATGGAGGATCACAGACCTGCAGACTGTTGGGTGCAGACGTAACTCTAGTGCTCAACCTATCACAGGGAGAACAAGCCGGGCAATAAACCCTTTCACCCCAAGAATGTTCTACTATCATTTCTGTGGTCACATTGAATCCATAGCAAACTTGCCCGGGGCTGAAACCCACTGGCAAGATGGCACGTCTATAGACAAGAATTCCTTTGCCATGCTATCAGTTATCTACAATTTGCAGAGTTATAAAGTAGCTCTCATAAAATCGAAATCAGAAGACACAAAACGTTGTGCTATAGACAACACATAGTTTTTCAGCGATATTCAAAATTTTTCCTAAACCAAGCAGAGGCACTCTTGACAAACACGTGAGTGTGCTTCCTCTCCCTGGTGTGTGTGTGTACATACACTTACAAAAATAAAAGTTTTGTAAAACAGTACTTATGCTGAGTATATGCATTGTACTCTGATATTTTCTCTTCTATTCTGTTGTTCATGCTAGTATCTGCATAGATGGATTTCACTACCCATTAATGGGTTGCCACCACTCATAGACTAAGGATTCACAGTTTGCAAACAGGGGACTAGGTCACTGCTCCTCAAACTATCTGTTGTGAAGGATCAATTTTAAGTCCTTTTACAATTTCCAGTCCTTCATATACTGATAATCTTGTAAAACACAGTAAAAATAAATTACTAGAAAAAGGAAGTGAAAATAAACCCACAGATTTATAAACATGCAAGCTCAAATCTTTCATTATGAATTTAACAGACATACGACTGGATGTTGGAGCAAGGTCAAATTCCACTTAAAGTTTTCAGTGCTTACTTTCAGTTTCTGTTTTAGTTCCTCTGCTCTGGAGCAGCAGTGATGGGTCCACAGGTCCTTGGGCCACGCTTTGAGAAGCGTGGTCTAGATGATCCCTGACCAGCTCTGACAGGTCTGGGATTTTTTGTTTTCCAGAAACCCACCCTCCCTCTGCCTACCTCAGTCAATGGGGTTTCCAGAGCATACTTGTGAAGAGGGACACATCACAGAGCATCTGACAATAGAGGACACACAGTGAATGAAGTGTCATCAGAGCACTGGGAGTATCTGCCCCCAGAGGTGGGCCTTCAGCTCTGTATTGTTCCTCACAAGCATGACCAGGCTATTCTCAAGCTACTCATCTGTGTTCATCTTCTGGATGCTTCTCATGGTACTGATTGATTCTTTTTTGGGGTTTCCCTGTTTAAATTCCTGAAAGAATCTTATTGCCCTGTTTAATCATCACTTCTGTTGCTGCAGAACTTTGCACACTACTGGGTCTACTTGACAAAACGGATTAGCTGCCTTTATACAAGGAGTTGACTGTGCATCTGATCAGAGGGCAGAGAACAAGCTCTGTGGCAGAAAACATGGCTGTCCTCATTCAAGGAACAGCCCAGGACTTTTTCCCCTCAGCACAGCAGGAGATGGGAGGAGGAAACCAAGAGAAGATTGGCCTATCCAAAACACATCTTATATTCTCCATTCCACAACCCTGAGTAACACTGAGATGTCACCCCCCAGGAGATTTA